ATGAGGAATGCAAAATAACTACGGCCTGATTTTTATGGCTTGGTTTTGGGTGTTGGCAGCTTCTAGTTACTTAAGTAAAAAGCTGGCTGCTGGCCTCTGCTGAGCATGAAATTAGTGTTTCCTCTCCCTCTGCCTCTAGTGTGCTGTGTGGCCAGGACTGTAGTGCAGCAGAAGAGAGTTAGCCAGCAGAGGAGGTGGGGACATGAACGGAATCCGAGTTCTTTGCTGCCACCCCTCCTTGACCTCCACCAAAAGCCAGCCACCAGCAGAGTGCCTGAGCCATTGCTGCAGCACTGTAGGAAGTGCAGACATCCTATGTAATACCCTCAAAAGCGTTTGCAATTATATTTATACCTCCCAGGGGTGCAATGGAAGTTTTAAAGTTTAGGGCTGAAAAGAATTCTTAACAGGTGTCAAATTTAGTGTCAGCATAGAGCTCCTTGTGAACCAAACAACACACCCTTTTCAAGCTCTCCCAGGAAATTTGGCAGTTCCTATTATTACAGCCCCTGTCATTACCTTGAAAGAAAAAAACTGACATGCTGCCTGGAGGCTGCTGGTGCTCAGAAGGTTAAGTCTTTGTCACAAAGAAAAGAGGACAGCAATCTACCTGAGCACACCTGGCTGCCTAGTGGCAGGGCCAGTTGTGTTTGTTAATGTCTGCAACAACATGAATGAAGTCATCAGGATGCTATGACAGGCCCATCTTTCAAATGTTACCCTGATTATTTTCTATATCGTTTGTGTTACAGACACACACCTATTTTCAGGATGGACTCGAAGCACCTGTTTTCAGAGAAAGCATTATGCAGAGAATGGTCACAGGTGCTGTGTGGGACCCCAGCTGGCCACTTTGCCATCCCCATACAGCAAAAATCCAATCTCATTCTTCAGTCAGACCACTCACTGCTGCGCATGTCTTTGAGAGTTTTTTTTTTCACATGCAAAAAACCCATCTCTTCTAGATCAGAACAAAGACCAGTTTCATTACAGTGCTTTCAATTGGTTACCCTTCTCCTTCACTAAACTACACCTGCAGAAAATTCTTCCCTGAAGGCACTTTGAACAATAAAACTTTTATCATCCAAAAAATTTTGTTCATTCCCAAAATTTTAGATTTTCCTGAGTCTGAAAAGAATAATCCTGAACAGGGTTTCATCTCCTGTGGTATGTCTGGAATCAATTATTTAAAATCCCAGGAAAGGTACATGAAATTTCTAAGTGATATGCATTTTGCCACACTCTCAGCCAATATTTCATTGTAGCCAAACTTGTATTTGTAAGAATAACTCCAGTTTTAAATTCAAATACATGAGAGTGCTCATGCTTCTCTCTGAAGGGTATAGTCAATACCTTATACTTGTAAAGTTATAAAAACAATATGAACCCATGCAAGCAAGTGTACCTCAATGACAGCACATTCCTGTATGATACTTGCTTAATTGCATCAATTTAAAATCACGTATATATTTAACCTTTTGTGTTAATTTAACTGTAGCCTACGCTAAGCATTTTCACTTTCTGGTTCCTCGGTAATTGGAGCCTCATTCCTTACTAGTACGACAGCATCCCGTGAAAATACACAGGCACAAGGTGGCAGCGGCGGTTTGAAGCTGGGAGCACGGGCTCTGCACTGTGCTTAGGGCACTGCAGCTTGTGTGCTTCTTCAGTGGGGTGGGTACCAGGCAACCAGGTGGTCATCAGCCACAGTCCCACATCCCAAACATGGCTATTAGGAGCATCACTGCGGTTTGGTTCCCGCTAAGTTCTTGGTTGATTCAGGCTTCTTTTAGCACCTCACAGACTGCCTGGGGTATAAGGGAGCCCGCCATCACCATCAGTTGTGGGAGGAGATTATATCAGGGAATTTAATTTTTGCAATGCCCTGGATGTGTTTTGATGACACCTCAGCATTTCAAACTGATCTCAGGCTTAATGCCTTTCTTAAGTAGCATAACTGATGGGTAAACTCCCATAGAGACTGAATACTTCACAGAGCAGGTGAATATTGTTGCAGTCCCCAAAGGCCACAGCATTTTACACATGTTAATCCCCTGGAGAACAACATAGAGCACATCCGAAACATAAAGGGCTTTTGAAAATCCCAAATGCCTAAACTTTACCACAGTGTTACCTTGACTGCAACTCACACCCCATAGCACTGGAGAGAAGGGGTGGGTGTTTACAATTCTCTATCTCTTTTCGTGTTTCTCTGGGAATCACCTGAATGTTCAGAAAAGGTACTGAAAAGCATTAAACTCGTGCCCATGCTTCCTGCACAGAGAACAAAATTTCCTGTAAGCCTGCCAGACCTTTCACAGCAGCACCCCAGGGATTTAACACTGTGCAGCTTATGAGTTTATATGAAATTTCATAAAAGATAAGACCTGTATTTTCACATAAATATATTTATTTTGGGAAAGATCAAGAAATACCAATATATTTTAAACCAGTTCCCTGCTGCATTAAAGAATGTGAACTATTCAGGAGAACATTTGGTAATCCTATACAATGAAATCTACTTCCCTCTCTATTTAGCATGCAGGCTGCAGCTGCTGAAGGTTGTTCAGCCTTTTCATCAGAAAGAAAAGTAAGGATTATGTGTAATAACCATGTGGAAGTAAACTTAAGGAGCAGCATGGAAGGGTGTTTAGAACGAAATGTAAGCTACCTTGTAAGCATGATTTCTCCTTCATATGCTTGTTATATGGTGTTACACTTTTTCAAACTGTAAATTTATATTCATGGACATAATTAGAATTGATATATAATATGTTCTCATCGTACAGAAATAAAAATATAAGCACAGTAGCACATACATTTGCCGAATATACATCTGTAAATTCTCCAGTAGGTAGTATACTCAAAGCAAATTCCAGTTTCTCTGTTCAACTATTACTCTTGTTAATGTAATGAGTTACTTTTTCCCCAGTGCTAAGTTCTGCCTATCCTTCCAGATCCTCCTGTAGTCCAATATCTGACAAATAATCCCTTTCTTCATCTACCTGAACTCTGATAACTACAGCATGAAATTGAAAATGAGTGCCTATGATTCCTGACCAGGGGACAACATATGACCTCGGGAATTCATTTAAGTCTCCTGTTGCTATAGATTCCCTAAGCATTAAATGGAAATGGCATTTACTTTCCACTGAGAGGTGTTAATAGTTAAATATTGCTTCAAAGATCTTCAGATAAAAAGACCTATATATGTGCAAATTTTTATGCTTCTTCCTGCTTTCCTATAGCTTCAAGATATAATAATACACTGAAAAGCTGAAATTTTCTTATGAAATAAAATTGTACTTGGAAATGTCAGGCCTGCACAGACCAATGATCCAGAAGCTGCTAAAGGCAGTGTATCAGAAATTGTAATCCAGCTTCTTCAGCTGAATACTGCGATGAAGAAGATACTCACTTACCAGAACCAGCCATAACCATTTTCCCCATATACCAAGAACTATAACCAGTATATAAAAATGTCAGAAGCAGCCTCTGAGGGTCAGTTTGGATACATCCACCCTGACTTGGAGAGCAGCAGTGGTGGGCATGAAGAATGCTGTGTGGGCATGAGCCATGACATGCCATGCCACTTGGCAATTTTACTGTATTTAGTATTAAAGACAAAGACTATAAAACTCCCCAGTGTCTTCAAATTTTTGTACTCAAGCTTACGTGGATAATGCTGTGAAGGGGATGAGTTAACACCTTGACAAGCACCTGAGATCTCTAACAGCTGAAAGCATTTCTTAGAAAGATTACAGGAAGAAATTTTACTCCTTTGTTTTGTGTGGAGACCCCAAACAGTTCAATGCCAGAGATTTTAAGTGAAGCCAGCCTGATCATAGCTGGAATATGAAAGTATTAAAGTATTCAATAAATATTGGCCTCTAATGCTCATTGTAAGATACAAAGCATATATATGTTTCATTGGAATTAAATTTTTCTATGATCCTGTGGACTTTTTTATTATATTACTGCTATGCTAGCACAAAATTCAGCCATATCGCTCCCAGCATAGAACAGATTCAAAGAATTCATGTCTTCTCTGTTCATTCAGTATGTGTAAGCAGAGAGTGATTCCTCTGACTCTGCATACTGTTATTTACCGGCTACTTTTCCCCCAGTTCACTCTATGGACTGAAGACAAAGGCAACAGTCCAAGGGAAGCTTATTTGTATCTTTACATGACAACCACACAGAAGAAATTCTATCACAGCAATTGTAAAACTTTGTTACATGCATCTAATGCAAACCAATATAAACCAGATTGAGAGACCAGATTCAGAATGAAAAAGGCTCATGAGATTAGCCCATGTCTTCTCCTAAACGCCAGACTGCGGACACTACACTTTTAAAAAGTTTGCTTGTTTTTTCATATTTCACACACATCCTGATTTAGGAATCAATACTATAGTGAAGCACAAATACTGCAAAGGCACATTACATGCAATTAAGTTAGTATTTCTGGTCCTAATAGAAACACAGTACCAGTATCATCTCTGGAGATGTCACTTTTGTAGCCCAACAGATCGATTAGCGTTGGGATAAGCATTTATGCTTCTGGGTACTAATAGGATTCTTCCCACCAAAATATCAAATGTTCTTATTCATCTCCCTCAAGTTTTCACATCAAATTTACTTTTTTTTTCTTTAAGAAATGGCTTCTCTAACAGGAAGGTTTGAGTTATGGTGACTCTCTATGACAAATTAATCAACTCTTTCCTCATTTTCCTGCTAATGAAGTTCAGTTTATGTCATTAATGTTTTTCAAAAGAAACAAGGACAATTCAAATAACAGCAACATGAAGTGTTTTTTAGTGCAGTTTCTAGAAAAGTGAATAATTCAATGTCTCAGAGAAAATGAATGTCTATGTAAAACATGAAGTGGACTACAAATACAAGATGTTTCTCCTTCACTGAAAATTAAATTAAAAGACAGGCCCAGAGCCAAGAGAAACTTTCTCTTAGGACCTACTCCTCCCACTCCGAATCCCTACCTTTGTGAGAAAGCATCTCGGTAGGGGCTGCCATGCTGCAGTGCGATCCCATATCCTCTGTCCGCAACAGTGTTCCCGACTGTGTAAAAAGAGCATTCTGCATCGTTGATGGCCACATACTCCAGCACTGCTGCATCCCAGACAAAGGCATAGTTTCCATATTTCACCTGCAGTAAACAGAGGAAAAGCTCAGACTATGGACTGCGCCTGAAAACGCGACAGTTTCAGCACAGGCTGTTCTTTAAGAAAAGGGAAGTTTGGGTGCCCAGCTGCTGCCAGCAGAAAAAGTCGCACAGTCACTGGTGCCATGCAGTGCTTTGGCAGAGCACTTCACCTGAAACAGAAGAAATGTGACCTGATAACAGCGCAGTGGAGGAAATCTATGGACTGCGGAATCTGTTTCCTCTTCAGGGAACAAAGGAAACATCAGGGTCCCTCCATCAATGCTAACTTCCACATGAAACCCCCCCACTGATTTTTCTTTGAGCCTTAAAAACAACCATTTAGATGGAAGGTAGGTATTCACATTGGGAGGGTAGGCATGGCTATCCAGATGGTTAGCCATGATCCACATTTCAGTCATGCTTCGAGTTGCGACAGACTTCACGAACACCCATTTGTCTTTTGGATTCTGTGGGCAATATCACACCAACTAGATTTTTGGGGGATTATTATTCTCGGCATGAAGTGTTTTCACATGTTTTCAAAGACTTTCATAGAGCAAGATCATGTAAACCATTTAAACTGTTTTGACTAAGATAAATCCAAAGCTTTTAAAGTAACATTTTCCTATCCATTCACATTTGAAACAAATTCAATTTTATTTTTAATTTAAAAATATGTGATGTATACGAAACTTCAGCATTTATTCAGAAACAAACCTTTAAAAACAGAAATTCAGTCTAAACAAATCGTTCCCCATTTCAGTGAATTTCTGCTTTACAGTCAAATCATGTTTTTCTGAAAAGATAACTATCTCTAGCTGCTCTACCAGATCCAGATCTTTTATGAGTTTTCTGTTTTGTTGGTCTCTGTGTCAGACCTGAAGAATCACATTGCTTTTTTCCTGACCCTCTGCTTGGCTTCACTCAGTGCTTTCCCTATGCTGTATTAGCCAACTAAACTGTAAAACTAGGCTGAAGCCATTGACTTTTTACATCTAATGGGAATAAATACGTGACAGCTAAGTGAAAAGTAAACAAAACACAAAAAGGCCATGTGGGGCCAGGCAATCCAGAGAGAATTCAAAACCAAGTCAGCATATCAAAGTAAGCAATGTCAGTACATCATTTAGATTAGGCTTTGACAATGTAGATTATGTTTTTAAAGACTGTTTACATATAAAAGTTACTGAAGCAAGCCACACCGTCTGCTTGCTCACAAGATGTAGTGCACAAGGAACGATTGCTTTTGGGACACATTGCTTTTTACTGCAGGCCTGGCAAGGGAATATTTCCTATTTCCATCTGTAGGCATGGTAGGGGGAGGATTTGTGCAGATTTTGGAGTAGAAAGGGAACCACATTATCTGTGGACTCCACACGACTTGCAGGATAAATAAAATGCTTTTCAGAGTGCAGACACACACTGGATTGGGTCATTTTTAATCTTGGGGCTCTGAAAAGAGTCAAGAAGGGTTTTTCTTTCCTCCCTGTGGAGGTTTAGGTCTATCTAAACAGCCAGGGAATAGGGGATAAAAGTGAATTTGCAGTTAACAAACAATACAACTTGTATGCTTGTCTTACAGGCACTGCCACTCACAGAGCTCTTCCTAGCATGGGTTATTCTGATCTTCCTACAGCTACCACTTGACTAGGAAATAGCATGACTGAGAAAAAAGCCCTTCCTAGGAGAATTTAAAAGGATAATGACTCAGCCTGAAAAAGGATCATGATGTGCAGAGAACAAGGAAGGGAAATAGGAGACAAAAGCAGAAGATCAAAAATGAGGAAATGAATCCTGAAAAGGATCAGATGGACTTTCTGAACAAAAGAATTAAGGAAAAGTGGGGTTCAAAAAACAAGTAATTTTACATGTGGGAGATAACCTTTGAGGTGGTGGAAAGAGCAGAGGGTTATGTTTTGACACCTGCTTTTGTCCTAACCCACAATTTTAACATCCTAGTGTATTGAATTCACCTAAGTGCTTGTAAAATGACTTATCAGCTGCTCAGCTGGTCAGGAAAAATTCTCTTGATTTGGCTGCCTTGCTGTAAAACAACTCACAATGAGAATATATAAAAGTGGTAAAAGCACTTACTGTCAATAATATCTGTGATGAAATGGTATATATAAGATCCTTAGAGTAGACCTGATAATATCACAGTTCAGGTTCCCACGAAGATATTACTTTTCATAGATAAGATCACAGTAAGCCTCAGTTAAAGCGCATGGGGCACAAAAGAGATTGAAGAGTCAGAAGGGATCACTGCAGTCATCTACCGTTAACACATGGTTGCTCCATGCATTAAAATACATACTTTTTAGCATTTTTGCCTTATTCCTTTACAAATCTAAGGAATTCAAATCCATGGAACAAACCTAGAGTTTGTAATCCTTGTAATGCTTGTAATCCCCCTCTTTATGAAACTACTTTTTGGTCTAATATTTTTTGTTGCTAATCAATGCATTTATTTTTACTACTTATTTTTTTTAATAACTTTCTTACATCATTCCTAGGTATTTTTATTTTTGCAGCTCTAAATACTCACACTTTGGCACTGACACCTTTCAATTATTGATGGATCTTTCTGTTTCTTAGCTGGGCTGGATATAGTTTTTTTTAATCTTTCCTTGCAAATATCTATCAGTTCGGCCCTCCCATTAGCAGTGGCACTATTTTTGAACTGTCTCCAATTCTCAATTTTTAAGTATGGGAAAAACATCTGTCTCACTAAGAGAGAATCATTTATCTGGCAGCTCTGGAGGTATGTGATTTCCTTTTTAGTATACTCTTCTGAGAATCATAGTCTAAACTGTCTGCCCATGGATCTTTCACACAGCTTAAAAGAAGTTTTAGCTTAAAGAATTAAGAACAAAATTTTGCTAGAGTATAGCATATCTGGAACACTGCTGATATTTCACAGTTTTACGCCTACAAATGAGTAGCTATACTGTGAGAAGGGGGGATGATGCTTTCTGCAAAATCACAAAGGAATTCTGGAACAAAATGTCAATCAAAACTTATGTCCTTCTCTCTCTCCCTCTTAATATGGGAAGCACATATTTTTCAGTTTTCCAATAGCTATGCTGAAGACTTCTACTTTGGGCCTCAAAATGAACAGCAAAAATTCCAGCTCTGCATTATGAGAAGTTAAAGAGCTTACATTCAGCCAGTTATGGGGGCTAAATGAAAGCAAAATCTCCTCAGAGAAAGAAACAGTTCCTTGCAATACCTGTAACTCACTACTCTAAGAACTGCATCCCTGATTCTACATTTTCTCATCATTATATTGGCATTTTGTGTAGAGGTAATAACATTTCAGGATGGTGGCAAATCTGAATGCTGGTCACACATGACCACACAGCCCAGGATCACCAGGGAAGCGTTTGTAGGAGGAGGGCATATTATCATTCAGCAGCAATCCCAGCTTTCCAGTCCACCAGGGCATGGAGAACTGACACTTTGGTCTCCTTCCCTGTGGCATCCTGCCTGTCAGTGTGGCAGAGCTAAAAAGATTTTTTGAGTATCTGATAACTACTGTCATAGGGGAAAAAAACCCAAACAACCCAGGCAAAATTGAACCTGTTAGTTGTTCATCAGGGTATTTTGAACTCATGCACTACACTGGTCATTAAGTGAAACAGGGAGGTATGGTACTATACAGAAATGCTTGGTTTCACTTCACGGTTCTGTGAGCAATTTTGAAGGAGTTCCTGTAAAAAGAGTTGTTACACAGAATAAGGATCATCAGCACACAGATGTTAAAACTATTTCTATAGGGCTGTTACATTTCTATTTTCTATCACTGAATATTTATAAAATTTTTATTTGCTGGAGTCCTGTCTGTAGATATTAGTTAAAATTTATCTTTGGTGATTCCACCAAAAACTAGTTGAGTTAAACAAGAAAAACATTTAAAGCCATTAAACGGTTGCATATACACATATTTTATGCCAACATGGATGTGGGTAGTATTTCTTCTTACAGCTAACCCATTCATGCAGAGTAGGCTGAATAATGTATTTGTGTACAATTCTGGCATTCTAAAAGCACATTTCTAGGTCTAGCAGATGATAAATTTCAGAAAAAATAACTGTAAATAAACAGCAACCAATTACTGCAATTTTTCATACTTAAATTCTTGGATAGTATCTTTTCTGTATTTTAAATTCTGGTATAAAAGAAATACAAAGAATCCTCACGAAAGAAAAAATTACACAATAAATTTCAGGTTAAAAAGAGCTGGCAGTTATTTTTCCTGCAGAACTCTTTTAAATATTTCATGGTACATAAAATGTATTAACTGTTATAAAAACAATAGAACTTTTAAGGCCAGGGAAATCTCAAGTTTCAAGTGATTGAAATGATAATAATTTTTTTGGAAGAAAATCTGAAGATTATTAGATAATGCTGATGAAGCCCATTTTCTGAACATCCTGTGCCTATAGTCTGGAGACACAGTGATGATGCTTTTTCTACTCCTTCCCATCACGAGTCAGTTGCCATCCTTCCTCTCCAGCTGCTGTACACCTTTCACCTGCTCCATACAGCAGTTGGAGGGTTATGTTCTCCAATACAGACCATTCCATTGCACTGACTACACAGGGGAAAAAAATGCCTCTGAATGCTGCTAGCTAGACCTATGCCCACCAGTGAGGACCTGAGACTTGGGTACATATAAATAAAAAAATTAATTTTTTGACATATTCTTTGCATGTTCAGCAAGGGTGCTCTAGCTACAGCCTGCAGAGGGCTTTGCTCCATTCTACAAAACAGCCTTACCAAGGATGCCATTACATGAGGAATGAAGAAGAGGGAAGAAAACTGAATGAACTTTTGAAAATATATGAGAGCTAATATACATAATGTGGATATCATACTCCAAAATGGGAAAAGGCAAAGATAAAATCAGTGGTGGAAGCTTAAATATAGATTTTCACATTATCAGATGTTGGCAAACATCTGATGGCATTCACAAGAGAGGTTTTTTTTCAGCAGAAGGAAAT